TAAAATCCAAAATTACAGAGAATAGGCTGTACCTAAAAACGATGACACCGCTGAGTATATTAATAAAAAATGGAACTGCCGTCGAACTAGACGTCAGAAGCATAGCTGTTGCAGTATGTGATAAGCACTCATAAACAGTTTCAGCGTTCACCACTTTGACGGGAAATGAGTTCAAAAGCAGAAAAGCATCGTCAGAACCGATAGCGATAAGCAGAACAAAAACGACAAGATTTAGCAGTGGAAAATCAGATGTAAAAAATGAATATACCGCCAATGCACAAAGCACCGACGCCCCCAACATGAATCCTACTGCAAGACAGTACAGGAAACTCATGGAATATGCGAAAACAACGAATATCACACAAACGGCAGCAAAACCGGCCAACAAAGAGTCACGTTTCGCTCCCTCAAATAAAATATCCCTTTTGATGTCCATTGAAATCCCTCAAATTAAAAACACTTATTTTGCAGCATTCATAAATTCTTTTCAATGAGCGGTTAACAAAGACTAAAATTGTAGTTGTCCAAATAAGCACTATTAGCAGATGGTACTGTTATACATTAGATATTTAAGCTACAGCCAAAATAGCTGTAAATTTCTTCTGGATAAAAACAAAAAATAACCTCTAAAAAGACAAAAAAAGCATACCTTTTATTTTTAAATATGGATTACGCTTGGAATAATTTTCTAAAGTACTTTGAATGTTCAAAAAGTGTTGTGCAGTAGCATTGTTAACTCCACGAGATCGATATCCCATCAGTGTAAATATGGGTAAAAACGAGTTAATATAAAATGGTTTGCTATTCAGATCTTTTGGTAAAATCCTATAGAATAGATCAAACATCATTCGCGATGAACAATTTTCCGGTACGTTGACACACGGTTGACATTCATAGCAATCCTTCATACAGTTAATTATTTCCCTACAATTTTTGCCACTCAATTACTACTGTGCTTTTGTGCGTCAAAAAGTTAAAAGTGAAAGAAAAATTAAACTTTTACTTGCAGAATTTAAAATTAAAAAAATATGTAGATAACAGTGACTGCAACATACGTTCGATATGACCGACAGTGATCTATCATTTTTTTCACTTCAATAGCTTCCTTTTCGGTTAAGAAGGTACAGTTGGCCACAAAAACTGTTGACAAACATGACATATAATTTGGAAGACTCCATATATTTCTAAATCAGAAAAACTAACCGATGTTTATAGTTGGAGGTCTATTCTGTGCATCCTAATGTATATTAATAACAGAACATTAAAAAAGTCCTTGAAAATTTTCCCCTGATTTCCAGTCAGATAATGTACCAAAGATATTCTGTGAAATGTGTTGAAGTAATCTTTTGTGAATCTTTTGTAAAAAAGAAAATTTTTCAAAAAATCGGAACCTATATGGCGTCAAGTAATCGAATGTTTGTAAATCATTCTGAAGTACTGTATGAAGATCGCAAAGGCTTTTGAGTACTGGATATCGAAATGCCTCTTCATAGGTGTCTACTTGAACCACAAATTGACTTAGATAATCCACTAAAAAAAAAAAGTTAAGCAATATGACAAAATGAATGCTTCGTTGTTGATAATAACAATAAAATGAAATAAATGTAACAAATAAAAGCCAAATTTTTTGATGACCGTGCCAAAACAAAGTCAATCCTTTTTCTTCAATATAAACTTAAGTCGTTTTTCTACCAAACGAAAAAACAAAGAGGTAAGAAACCGAAATGCCGGTGAAATTATTAGACGAGCAATTCAAGAAATAAACTATTTCACTAATACAGCGAAAAGTTGATAATAATACCAATATTAATATTCATTATCAACAGCAATAATTTCATCTATCATTCAGTTTTATTCGATGACCAATCAAAGCTTTTTATACAGCTATTAGCATTCCGCTAAAGTCTTTCACTAGACAGTCAACCAAAATCTATAGTGTGAAAAAAAAGAAAGACTTTATTCACTCAATTGAACTTTCAAATATTTTATCCCAAAATTTTACAGTATATTTGCGCAAAAAAAAATTTATAAAATAATACTATTTAGAATTTTATTGCTCTCAATCAGTTATCTATAATTTTACTAAATAGGTTCTTCAAATAATTAAAAATTGTTACTGTAAAAGAAGGAAAGTTTTCAACTTAAAACACAGTTTAAATTGCATTTCCCCAACTGACTGCAGTTTGTATAAAGAATTTTATTTTTGCAGATTTTCAAAGTTGATAAAAGAATGTGTTGGGTTTTTTCTTTTTTTTTCATTTTTCAAAAGTTTTTCTAACAAAAAATTTTATATCCCCACCATTTTTGAACATTAGATGAGACAAACCCCCACCCCCACCCCCCCCAAAAAAAAA